GCTCGGATGTAAGAGCACGGCCACGATGGGTGATGTGTCTGATGTATGGGTGGATAAGATTATTGATATATGTTATGGACTCTCTAGAAAAACGGTACCGCTCAAATAAAAATACATGGGGATATGACAAAAAAATCAACTCGTGGCCTCAAAGTCCTCTCCCGACGTAAATTCAATTCCCTGCGAATTAATACAGCCTCCTCATCTACAAGATCCTCTATAAATGGACATGCCATTTTGGTCTCTGCGTGACGGAAACGTGTGCAATCTATGAATGTACTGAAAAGATTAAATGAGGTAGGCCTATTTAAACACCTTTCACTTTAAAAAGGGGCGGAGACCAGAGGAAACTCTGGGTTTCCCAAACAAAACCTGCTCCCAACCAGGTTAGGGTCACAGAGTAAGTTGCCATAGTAACTGACTCTGAGTTTAGATTACCCCTCTTTTTGAAACGGGTTTAACTTACCCCGCTTTCACGGGTTTAAGTTACCTCCGTTTCTGGAACCGAAAACTCAGAGTTTTCCTCATTTCGGGGTTAACAAACTCAGAGTTTCAACAAAACCTCCTTCTTGAAACGGGCCCCTGGCCTCTAACCACAGTCTCCATTTGCAAACAAAAGCTGCTGTGGGTACCTTCTCTGCCATAGCTTGCTAGCTTTAGCCATCAAAACATAGCGGTAACACGTCTGCCTGCAACCGCAAGGCCTTGTGGGAGACTTTGGGGTGTTGAGTGCATGGACTAGTGGTGTGCGATACCTCAAAATTTGGTACTGATCTGATACCAAGTAAATACAGGGCCAGTATTGGTGATACCAATACCAACACTTTTTTACTTAGAAAAGCAGCTTTTGAGTATGGGCAGAGCAATGCTTCATAATTTATTAAGTGAATGCAATATGCAAATTTGAATGAAAATTGAAATTTTCATGATCTTTGAATGATTTTGTGATTTCTGAATTTCAATTAGTTGATTGTGATTATGTGTTATTAAAACACAGGACAAAGATTTTAGGCAAATAAAAAATACTTTTTATTAACTAAGTTGAAATGTTTTATATTAAAATTTTTTGATTTTTTGTTCAGAAACAATATAACATAACTACACAACAACTCACAGCAGGAGAGGGGGAAGGGCAAAGTGAGAGGAGCATAGTGATGTGCAATTGAAGTGATGAACATCGGTGTCAGACGGCCATCACTAGAGGAGCGGTGTATGCACAGCCACTATGGTGTAACAGGGGTTATGTACTCAGTGTAGAAAAGAGAATCTGATATGCAAGTATTGATCCCATCACACAAGTATCGATCGATACCGATACCAAGGTTGGTATCGCTACTATAGATCGATCCGCCCACCACTAGCATGGACAGAGTGCGCGCAAGTAGTTAGTAGGTTTACTTCTTGCAGCGTTCAATGGTTTTGCTTGGGACGAGTAAAATTATTGGTCAGGCTTTTTTTCAACCCTGCTGCTGTCACAAATGACATTTTTTAATGTTGTCATTGTATTTAATATATTCATTGCCATCAGGATGAAAAGAGGATTTCAAGATATGTAATAAAAATGCTTCTGAAAAGAATCACCGACCCTACCTTTAAGTAACATTTTGAATGCATGACATTTCTTTATAACAGAGTATTTTTACACTGTGGTAGTACTACTTTTACTTTAGTAAACAATCTGAGGACTTATGTCAGCACTGAGTATATTAACACATAGCCTGCTTTGCAGAATTTGAACTGCGAAAACATCAATTTTCCACCCAAGTCAAGAATATGGTCTGATATCCGTTCAGTGTGGTCTCTAACCAGTCAGTTAATGTATGAACTCAGTAGTTTAACTAGCTAGTTTATTAGCGCTGTCACATTACCTGCAGGGCTTATTCCACATCCCTATCCTGCTCTCCTCGTCTCGGAGAGAAGCGTAGGCCAGCTGATGTTAGCTAGCAGCTAACGCTACAAAACAATGGGGAGGGGGGGCACTAACAAGAACAGCAGCTTATCCCTGCCTGACTTGCTAATGCTAATGGGTAGCGACTCCGCTAGCTGTCGGCAAAGAAAGAAAGCATTTGAAAGCAAGACATTTGAGAGGTATTTCGTCTTACCCCCAGAACCCACAGGGGCAGCGCGGGGGTATAACGTTGACATTACTCGGAGGCTTTCTGCCCTCGCTCCCCGTGTCCCCCATGTCGGTCTTCCGTGTCAGGCTCTCAGCGTAGCAGGTGAATCCGGGGATAGAATGAGGGCCTCGTATTCGCGTTTAGATCCCCTGGCTTTGACAGATACAAAGTCAGTATCCTGGCCAGATTATCTTTCAGGGTTCCACTAGACGAGGAACGACTTGCCGACACGAGCGGCCGCTGATTCCGTAAAATTAAAACAGTTTAAATCGACGTTGACACATTGGAGCCGTCAAAGCCAACGACAGACGGAGTGACCGGGGAATCCTGCTCCGATCAGCTGGAGAGGGGGAGAAACCACTCCTTCACGGGGGAGGTACACAAACTAAAGTATATACTGGTGTGTTTGTGCTGCATAGAAAGTGACGAAAAAAAATCTGTTGTAATAATTTTAAACGTTGAACATGCTAAGATCCTAATTGAACTCAGTAAATAGTTCATCTGAAAGGTCTGATTTAGAGGAGTACTTGAGATGACATGGTATGAGCCACACTGAACTGTTATCCTACAGTCAGAAAGCTCATAACACTGATTAATGTATTGTCAAAGCTGTTACTGACCATGTTCTAAGTAGGAAGGGGTCAAAAGGAGGGTGGAGAGGATCACTGCAGACCCCTCACACCCTGGACACAATCTGTTTGAACTCCTCCCATCTGGATGGCGTTACCGGTCACTGTGCACCAAGACAACCAGGCACAGGGACAGTTTCTTCCCCCAGGCTGTCACCCTGATGAACACTGAACCAACGACAGTATGAGACAATAACCCTCAGTGTAATACCTGTAAATATACCTCATACAGATTATACAGACTCCTACAGGTCTCGTATTCTGTTTTTATCCCTATTTATCTCATTTCAATGAACATTCCTTTGTTGTCTGCATTGTTTACTGTCTGTTTATACTGCTTTTTCTGCATTGTTTGCACTGTTTGTTGATGTTAATACTGCTATTTTGTTATATTACACAGCCTTATGCTGGTTTACTGTTTGCACATTGAGAGCCTATGTACCAGAGTCAAATTCCTCGTGTGTCCGTCACACCTGGCCAATAAAGCTGATTCTGATTCTGATTCAGTTTTCTCTGAATTTCATGCACTTTCACACTAACCTGCCTTTATTGAACTGGACTAACATTTTAGTCCTACAGATATGCCACCCTGGACTGAAAATGAGCCTTTGTTTTACAGCGTTGTAGATCATTTGTCACAGTAGAAAAATCAGCTAATGAAATAATGATGGCTGAATTCCAGTTAGGTTTTTCGGGGTCAAGATAAATGTGCATGTTGGCTCACTGTCACCGCTTACTTAGGCTTAAATATATGACAGATTGATTGTTAATGTAGTAACATCTGTGCTTTTCTTACAGCCAAAATGTCTGCTGTGAAAGGGGGCCTACTGTGACTTAGTCCACATATTGCACATTGTGACATGTGATAGGAAAAACACACCTATGATCATTATACCTGTACTCCTACTCAAAGGCAGAAAGTCTGCAGCAAGAAAGGTCCAAACACTCATCACATTCAAGTCATATCTGACAGAATCCCTTTATAAATGCTGTTTTTAAAATTAATTGATTGGAACCATTACCCAATCCTTAAAAGACTGCTTAACCAGTTTTTATTCTTTTTGGCTTTAGGATGACCGAGTCATTTGTTCAGGATGACCTCCACTCTGTTTGTCTGACACTTCACCCCAGAGGGAAATAACTTGACAACTATTAGATGAATGTGGCTAATCATCCATTGATCTAAAGGTCCAGGATGAATCTCAGTATGTACAGGTCCATAAATTTCATCCAGCACCATCACCAGGTCAGAATTTCAATTTCATAACAGGATACTTCTAAAAGTATCCTGTTAAAGTATCCTAAAAATTCTTCTCAGTCTCAGTTGCACTTTGAGATTAAAGCTAAAATATTAAGCTACATGCAGCATGCAGTAGGTCTTTTCATTTTGACTCATTAGGCAAAGGTGTATCAAATATTATTAATTTTGGCTGCATTTAAGTTAGGAGCATGTGCTAGTTCCAGGGACCTGAATAGAGCCAATATTACCTAGGGGTAATTGTTATCATGCATGTTAACATTCTCAATATTGGAGGTGTGTTAATCTGCATGCTTGTTAGCTTGTTATTTTTGTAACAGTACAAAGATGACACTACTCAGTTTTTTATTATTTGAACTCCTTACAGTCTTTTAGTATGTTCCTGTTCACCTCCCAGGCATTTATTACAGTTTACTTCATGTTTAAAATGAAAATGTGACCTGGGTCTGTTCTTGCTTTTAGCATGCAAGTTCATCCACCACTGAACGCAACCATCAATGTGCACAGTGGAGGGCACTTTTTGTGTATCTCTAGGGATGGCTTCAAAATTGCATGGTATTTTACATACATTATGTCATTAAATATATATAATCTTCTTGATTTTGAATTGTACATATAAACAGTATAAGTATTAACCAAACAAGCCAGCTGAAATGAGTCAGCAGTCAACAGTTTTGGGCTACTGCAAATTTAATTCAAGACCAAGTAGTAGGCTTATTTGTGAGATTAATCTTGAGCAAACATTTACTTCACAAAATCAGTCTGCATTTTATGTAGAACCCCAAGAGTTTTGCTGGCACCACAGATTATTACAGCTTTCTGTTTTCTAGCTTGAGAACAGAGTTGTTTCATGTTCACAAATAGTGATGGTGTTGTCTACAACAACAGAAATATCATCACTGAATTCTGTGTTGCACCTTAAATGACTTTCAGAAAAATGTAACATTTCAGAGGCAGGAAGTTGGAATTCCCCTCGGCAAGGCCTGCCAAGGAGCAGCTTCTCTCTCCAGGGAAGGACAAGTGGGCCCTGGGTGCAACGAAGATAGATAGCTGATAGTTCATTAGGTAGTTAGGCACAGGGAGGGGTATCCCACAGAGAACTGCAGAATCTCGTTTCTCACTGTTGCTTAGAGCCCATTTTCCAGTGCAGTGCCAAACAATGCTAGCAAAGGCTTAGTTATTTGCCACTCCATCTCAATCAAAGCAAACTTTTAGTGTTTTCTCTGCTGATATATCACCCACTGAAGACATTATATTTCTGATGGGATCTTTTGTTTCAAATAAACAGATAACAATGGTGATTCAGTGTAGCAAACATGGCCATGACAAGCCCCAGTTTTGGCCCAGCAGTGGAAAAATTGCTGCATCTTTCCCCTCAGCCAGAGTCCAGCCTCAGGCTTGGTTGTTCTCTAGGGATTTGCAGAACACCACTTCAAAGACAGAGCCCCTCTCCTTACATGCCACCCCCCAATAAATACAAGAACTTAAGGAATTAATTAGACACTGGATCAAACACGGGTTAGTAAATTCAGCTCACTGAAGATACCAGGAACAGTTTAATCACATGTTGAGTGAGCATTGTATTCCTTGTCATGTGAGTTATCTTTGATATGTATGTAGAAGACTTCATTCCATTCCAACATGACAGTTTATATTGACAGTTTCTTGACCCCTCTCCTGTTCACTGAGGGATTTTCTTTGGAATATTTTTGCACCACAGCCATGTAGAAATGCAAAGAAAATTTTCCTTGATACAGCAATTGCTCCCTGAAGGCCTGTGCTTTAAAGAGAGTTTCAGGCACCAGGGCAACTGCCAGATTCATTTTCCCATGGCTCACATCAAAGAAGTAAAAGTTCTGATAATCAGTGAGACATCACGTAATTCTTCTTAAGTTACAGGTAAAAAAGGTGGAGTGGTGGCGCAGCGCACTTTACTGTATTTATGCTTGGGGTAAGCCAGTATGATCTAATGAGTAGCCAAGTTGATAGTTTTCCTTCCTACAATATTACAGCCTCCTCATAATAAATTCAATATCTTCATTTATAGTAGCAAATCACAACCTGTACAGTATATGTTGATTACCCAGATTGCATTACTGCATCTGTCAGTAGAGATTTGATTCATGGCTGTTAGCATGAGAGGCAAGCTCTCTACAACATGCTCTAAATGGATTGTATGGGAAATCTATGTGAACACGTTTGTCCATAAATTAGAGTCTTTCTTATCTTTAATGCCATCCCCAGGGTGGCTGTTATTGACTGAAGGACAAGTGACATGTCACAGCTTTTAGATTTGCTTTCAGGGGGTATATTAGAAAACTAATTTAGTCAGATTACAGCGAAAACAGCATTATTGATTTGAATCATCAGGCTTTTTTGACTTTGGATTGGTATTTCTTCAGGATATATAACAGTGATATTTACGATGGCCATATTTTAGGGCTACTTACTGGCAGTTACAAAATTTGCTAGTTGAAAAAACATCAGCTGATGCAGTCTGCCTCAGTCTCACATGTCATTCTACTTGCTGCATTTTTGCGAAACACTTGGAAGTGCAGTGAAATGTATTGCATTTGTAGTGTGCTGACTAAACTCAGTGAAATAGTGCAAATGCTTTTTTATCAGTATGGTGTATTCTGCACTGACAGATGAAGAAAACCATCTTTGACTAGGAGCTGAGAGATCATAACTTGGCTGTGAAGCAGCGGTGGCTCTAGGCGATGTTTAGAAGTACACACCGGCAGGATAAACATCAGAGGACCCTGCCAGGCAGCCAGTAAAAGCTGTTTGCACTCCTTCATCGAAGGCAAAAAGCCTCCACCTAATTGTTCTCTCTTGTTCTTGTACCGTCTTTCTCTTTTCTTACACCACAAATAATGTCATTCTTTCCCAAATCTGCCTACAATATATGCCTGTTCTTCTGTTTTCTGTCTCTCTTTCACTCTCTTGCTCTCTCACACACAGGCACACACACTAACAGTCCGGCCTCCCACTGTGTGCAGAATGTGTAGTGAAGCCACCCGCATCAGGTGGGGAAGCCAGCATAACCAGTCTACCATCATCTCACTATCTGCTGATCAAAGGGCTGCTAAACAGCCAGAAACTACAGCGGGCGCAGGAGGGGGAGCATGCACAGCAACACAATTAGCAAGCAGTGCTTTTTATATGCTGAATTCAACTCCCGATTCTTGACATTTTCACACACAAACACAGTCACGGATACACAGTAAGAACAGACATAATTAGGAAGTATGTATAAATGTACACACATGCAAATGTGCATTATAAATTATTGTTGTGTATATCACATTTAATGTCACAGCTGGTAAAGGTGGAGCTAATCTTAACTACTTCATATATTTATAATGTGAAGTACTTTACATGCTGCTGAGTAGCTTGTGAATTTCCCACTGGGGACCAATAAAGTCTTATGATTCTATTGTGTTTTGTTTTATTTGTCTGATTTTGAAAAGTA